CTCATCGTAATGAAATAGGCTGAGAAGCTACTATAGTGCGGATTTGTACCCTACGCTATCCTTTTTTAATTTTTATTTTAAAAGATTGCCCCTACTGCAGGATAATTTTATCCTGTGTTTTAAATACGTTTAACATACATTAATTTCACGTGGATCCCAACACCCAGATCCCAATATTTATCGGACCCTCGACCTCCAACGCCGAAGCCAATACCTTGACCACTGCGCCACGGAGTCGTTATATATTTGTACATGATCTACGTAAAAAAATAATAATAACAAAATGTAGTGTAGATGGAAATAAGGAAATCTTCAAAGAAAATTTATAGAGGCTTAGATATAGCTGACGCAAATTACACGAAAACCTGAGTCAAGGTGACCTTGAGCTACTGAAGCTACGTCAATGTTTATTCAAGCCATGACTCTATGTGACTTACCTGATTAAAAGATTACCTGCACCTTGCGTGTGTTTGCCAAAGTTGAGTTCATCGCGGATTAAGTCCACGCGGCGAGTTTCAGAGCAAACTTCGTCGAACCTTGTCCCGACGCCCACTGTTTATACATATTTGGCGGGATTTATTACTTAAATATTAGGTGTAGGCTACCAACGCTTTTGAATTGAATAACAAACTGCGCACTGTATACAGATCGAGCGATATGACATTTGTATTTATTGAACTATACTATTGTCAGAACAAATTACTCGCCAAGTCAGAAGACCATCGAAATGTTGCATTTTACTGCAGTATCTACTTTCACAAATGGGCATGCTCGTCCAGGGGACTAGAGTAGAATAGAATATACTTTATTGCCCACAAGGAAAATACAGGATATAAACTTATTGTACTTAGAGCCGTGACAGCTCAGTGTCATTGTCACATGTCATATTGTTTAATTCAATATACTCGAGCAACCTGAGTTCGATCACCGGTGCCGGCACCAATGAAGTTTCTAACTTTAAGTGCTGTCTTATCACGTGCTGATGACGTGTCGTGATTTAAATCGTCCTATAGCAATCCATCTCCTCCATAATTTAAGTTTTGCTCTTATCTGCAATAACACATTGATGTCAAATTTTAAAATGTTGAGTAAAAGTGAAGATTATATAATTGATTCTTTTTTAATAAACATTAATCGAATCATAATAACGTCGTTTTTTTGTACATTTAAGTACATCGAAGTAAGATCAAATGATTTATTAAACTCAGGTAGGTAAGCAAAATATTCTGTTGGAAGTTTTTGTAATCTCGCGTTAGATGGCAGAAGGCGCGACCCGGGCACCGTCGCTACCCTTCGACACTGTAAAGGACTTCTCGGCCCATTATCAAATTTGGTAGGGCCCATCTATACACTATTAGCTAGTTTTATAAGAAAAATAAAAAAAATTAAAGTGGTCCAACTTTGTGAAATTCAAGATTAAAAATTTTGAACATGATTTTTTTCCAAAAAAAAAATTTTTTTAATATCCAAAAATGCAATTACAAAGCTCATTAAATTAAGCATACACTTGACTACTTCATTTATTTCCATTTATCTTTTCAATACCGGATTCGAAGTGGCGCATACCTGCCGGTTGGTCACATTTTTAAAGCTCTCTAAATCGTAAACTACGTTTTATACTCTAAAAATATTTTGTATCTGGATTGACGACACATAAAGGTATAACATAATCAAATATTACTAAAATCGGAAACATCAACTTTTTTTACCTGTCCGCTTCGCGTGGAATGCCCCTAGAGTAAATTATTTAACCGGGTACAATCGATAGAGCGTTAAGAACCAAATCAAATGAATGAGACATTAGAAATACATTGCGGAAAAGCAGCTTAGAGGTTTCTGCTTATCCCCAGTTTCTTTAGCAATGTTGATGAATTACGCCGCAACTCAGTTTTACTGTCGCAACGTAATTTCGAAAGGCCGTTACCCTCCGAACCAGTATGCACTAATTAAGTCGACAGTAAGCAGAACGAGCGAGAGTTAGTAACGACAAAGTCCCGAAATATTTATTACTATCTTCTGCCCGCAACTACGTCTGCGTAGGGTAGGCTGAAGGTGTAACATTAAGACAGAAAGACAGATATATATAAAATATGTATATAAATTATAGCCTATGTCTTATTCTGATGTATAAGCTATATTGTTGTAAAGTTTCGAGCATTAAAATCCATTCAGTAGTATTTGCGTGAAAGAGTAACAAACCTCCATCCATACATACAAACTTTCGCCTTTATAATATTAGTAAGGTTGGTGTCGCGCTACCCACCAACTGTCACATTCATCGCCAACTAAGGGTAAAGCCCGTCAATAATCCCTTAAGGGCGTTGTTAATTTGTCGATTGTAACAATTCTATTCGCGAATGTACACGCTGGGTCAGTTTGTTAGTAATTCTATCGTCGTTCAAAATGATAAAGCTCCGCGCAAGGCAATTCACTTCTAATTTATTTGTGTGAGTAATTAGCACTTAAATGTACATGAATATTTAAATGTAAATATAGAATATTTGTGATTGTACTCATTGTGTACAATATTTTTTTTTAATTTTGTACACACACACATAGATTTATACCCACACATATCTACCACACACTAATTATATTTATTCAGAACTGCATAGCTTTAAATGAAATTGAATACGAAACAGACGATGCACGCGCATATTTGTCCAAGAAATACTGTTTGTAGGCCGAGCTTAATGTAGCCTAGTGAAATAAAAAAGCTACCGAGTGGGATTGTGTTTCAAATTACTTGGTCTACATAACTTATTGTTTTCCGTGTCGGCATGAATTACGTTTGATCGCTTTAACAGCTTCCTGATCACTTTCAGACCCCAATAGTATTAACTAGTAATATCATTAGTGAGTATTAACTCCATTGGTGAGTCGATTCTATATTATGTATAGGATTAACTCATCCATTGAGTTAAAACTACATATGCGTTTTTTCAAATGCCTAGATTATATGTAGGCATTTGAAACAAAGCTTTTGTGGAGCGCAATGTTCAATCTTAAAAAAGCCCAGAAAACATTTGGAACATTTTGTAAAATAGGCTGACCTTAAAATCTCTTCCGGAACTAAATGACTGTATAATTCCATTATCAAAAGTCGTATTTTGAATAGTTGTGAAAAGATGAATCAATAATCGTCAGAAAATTCGAAAGGACAGTACTATAAACTAGCGGTTGTGCAAAACAAGAGTAAAAGAAATTTTTGACCATGTGGTAATAACTTACAAATTCGTAAACACCGTATAATGCTGCCATGTTGTGTGCGGGGTTTTCCTTCTAAATTACAAGAAACTTGCATAGGTGCGAAAAATTGTTTTGTGATTTTAATTCTGAACACTATAATTTATGAAAAAAAAATGGCATTCTCCTTATGATTTCACTGTCAGCAGTCCCCATGATTACTTAATTTTTTTTTTCACGTAAATATCTATAATTCAATAATAAATAAACTTCACAAGCTATTATTATCCCTATTAAATTATAAGACTACTGGTACGACTGGGCCTAATAGCGTGCGATATATTATATATATTATATATATTATATATCTTATGATCAGCGTTAACAATATTTATCTATTGTGAAACCCGTAGGTATAGACGCTTAAATAACACAAGCTCATTAAAGAACAGGCGCGGCGTACTCCAAATAAGAAACTTTTAATTGATAAAGCAATCATATCGATGGTATAAAGTATAAACAATCGTAACTTAGCGAAACTTAACTAGGCTAACAAGGTTTATGTATAAATTGAGGCAATGGCCTCAAGTATTACGGCACTCTTTAATACGAACAAATTTCCGGATCTAGAAACAATTTAAGCATACCCAATAAATATTTTGCAGAGTCATTCTCTAATATAACTATTGGGTACTTAAAATATACAATAGCATTTAAGCAGTTCTATTTCACAATCGCTGTTTTTTCTATGAACATTTTGATTGGAACACTCATAAAATGTATAGGAATGAAATCTTAAACAATGGATAGAAAATCACTATTACACCGATATGTTTTGAATGTAAGTCTTGTTTTGTCCGTTAAGTTATTTGTAAACTAAACTTCGATTAAAACTTCAAAATAATTGCTATTCATGTGTGATTCGTTTAGGATGTAACTATAGTTGTAACATATTCTTCTTTATATCTATACACTTTGCACTAAATGTGTGTTTAACGAAACATTGTAAATAGTAATTTATAAACAATGTATTTTACATTACAGTCTTTCTTTTCATAATGTCTAATGATGGGTTATAAGTCTGCAACTTGGTTCGCCGTATTGCACCGTTAATGACATTATTTTATGTTAATCTTATAAAGTAACTGTGATGTATGTAATATGATAGTACATTAAAGAATTCACTTGGCAGACTTCTACTTTATCAAGCAACGGGATCTTTGTCATTTATAACTCTCAAGACTGGGCCAAAATTGAGTGAGTAATACAGTAAATTGCTACACGTATAACCAAGTTCAGAAATAAAACCAAAGTAAGAAAATAAAATAACAACATCTATTTGTTTCGTTCTAGAAGTACTCTTTCTCCACACCACGTTTTTTCATTGTCTGCTTCTGAATTTAGTAGTATTATTTGATAAATTTGAAATAAGCCTCAAGTCGGGAAATTATTTTTGATTAGTATTCCCTGAGCAAACCCACATTAATTCCATAAGTTAATCCACAAATAAAGCACATAGCGTGAACATGGTCTTTCTACGGGCTTTGTACCCGATAAAGATTTACGTATAGCCTGCAACTTGGAATTAAAAACATCTTGAAACAAAGACATAAACGAAACATGAATCTTAAAACACGAGAAGAGACCAAGGCAGCGGCGAATAATTTCAAATAAGTAAAAGATATTCATGTTTCAATATGTTCTTCAGTTACCTAGTACCCATTGTACAAGCTTTGCTTAATTTCTCAAGATGGAGTTGTTTAAAAATTAGTCGATTAAAAGTTCGATTAGTAGAATTAATATTTCATGTAAAAATGCCCTTAGTCTTTATTGTGGTAAAGAATTTATCAGTTCCTGCTGCAAGTATAGACAAGCGCGTCCGGGTAAATGCCACGGTCTCAGAGAAACGCGATAAGGATACTTTTTGCGTTTGCGTTTACTACTGCGTTTTGTCTTGTGACTAGGATATCAAGGGCCCTCGGTAGTTAGCAAGACACCAGCACCATCTTGGTTGTTGTGAGCATTTCCTTTGCTAATCGCAAACTACCGCTTGGTGATGCTAGTTAAAAACTCTCGGTGTGAACTGAGCCTTGGTCCGAATTAGGAACGGCCCGCCGTAGCCGCTATCCGTCGCAGATGCGGACGATTACGTCAATTTGTGCGAAGCGGAAAGTCGCGCCCGCCGTGGAAACCGGCCGCTGGAATCGCAACAATGGACGGGATTTATTGCATCGCCGTAACGCAGCAACAAAGGGCGGAACAACCCCCTCCGCCGCCGACCCCCCCCCCCCCCCCCCCAGCGCCTAATAGCCGTCAGCGATAACAATAATGAAAGAAATTCGATTTGTCCAAGTTTCCGCCTTCCAAAAGTTCGTTAATTGCTTTTTTTTTTATATCGCAACAATCTGTCATTATCAATTCTGTTGACAATGTTCCTGCGTGTGATGATATATAACTTGACGGGTTTAATTTGGAGGAGGGCCGGTCAGTACTTCGACCGATTCAGAGCGAGTTTCTAATGAAGAAACAGGCGAACAAGGTAGTTTAATATGAACTAACTTACACGAATTGTAATTAATAAGAGTATAAACAGAATACCCCCAACTATATGTTTAAACTAATTTAAACGGGCCGTTGTGTAATCGTGTTGTTAATGCCGAAAACGTTTCGATAGAACTTGCGTGTTAATTGATACAAAGCCATATGCCGAATAAGGGTTGTTACAAACGAGGTCGCTCTAACACGACACGATCTAAATGTGCCCACAATGTATTTAGGCCTCGTCCACACGACCGCAGCGATAATGCCAACGCGGTTGATAGCCACTGACACACTGTCTATTAGGTCTGGATAATAAAAATTAAGAATTGCATGTTAGGAAAGATTTCAATTTTAACTTCGCGGTTTTATGCTTCTCCTTACTATTAGTATTGTATGTTTATTCGTTTTTAAGAATTTAATAAGTTCAAAAAATAAGATCTTGACTTTTAACGTAAATGACAGTTGTCTGTTAATAAATCCTTCAATTCATTAACAACAACAAAAATAAGGTAGAATCCGAGAAAAATCCCAGAAATAGATTTTTAACGATATCATAAAAACAATAAAATTTTACTATTGCAATTGAGAGATTCATTATCGTAAAATTTAATTTAAGTATAAGCCAAAAATATTGCTAGCTGAACATTTGAACCGTATGTCGTGTACGGTAGAGACAAGATTTAAATCAAACTAGGGAACACCGTTATACTTATTAAAAAAAACTATATTCTCGCTTAGGTAAGCTTTAAAATGCGGGCCTTGATTCTTGAGTGAATATTAAACAATGAGATTTCTATTACGTTGATTGTATCAATCTCTCGTGGGAATCTTTTTTAAGCAGCCTACTTTATACATAATACTTATGTTTATCTTAGGTAATTTTTATTAATAAATGGACTACAATATAAATTTGTACACATAAAACGGATATTCACATATTTCCCTCAATAGGAGAGGCACCAAACAGCTTCTGGTGGACGAATGGGCAAATTCGTCTGGTATACCACAATCTCGAATGAGTATCGAAGTTCTTCCACTAATACCTACGTTTGAACTTTAGCTGTTCGTCTGGTTTAATAACCAAGGCCTACTCTTTCACATGTAAAAAGCAGCTGTTTTGAATATTTTCAACGCATCTGCAATTCTACTAGTGTTTAGGGGTCCATGTAGCAGTATTAATCACTGAATTTCGAATGAAGAGCATGCTCGCTTGCTATCTCACATAAAATGTTAGTACCTGGAGGGCCCAGGAGGAGTTAGTAAATCGCGTATTTTGGAAATAACAAAAAAAAAAAATAAAGAAAGCAATGATCTGGTATAGAAAAAAAGTAAAAAAAAAAAGAAATTTACCGTCATATTCGAATGATAGTTTTCATTCCCTGAAAACGGTATACAAGGACATTTTCTAAAAATGAAACCTAGCTCGATCGATTTTTCGCCCCCGAATCTACGCACATACTAAATTTGATGAAAATCGCTGGAGCTTTTATATATATATATATATATATATATATATATATATATATATATATATAAAAGAATTGCACGTTTACAATAATAAAAATACATATAATATTTCTCGTAAACCACACGTTACGTTTGGTACTTGACAAATGCGATGATCTCTAATACACTTAAAATGTAGTATTTCATTAAAACCATTAATAAAATGTTGTACTACTCGTTTGTTCCATATTCAGGTGGCAACCGAAAAGATATGAATAAAATTTGATATGGAAACTGTATAAACAAATAGGATTTACTGTCTTGGATTTTTTCTTATCCTGTGAAAATCAAACAGTTAACTAACTAAAAGTTGAACTATGAAAATTTTAAAATTCTCATCTTTATTCTATTTACGTTAATCGTAATAATACGGTAAGAAACCTGGGAATTTAAAAACCTATTAACATTTATGATTTGTAAGTGCATCGTGCTATTTAACTATAAATGTAGGATGTACGTGTTTTAAATGTATATAAGTAAACACGTCCTTATAATTCAGGCCCCGTCAAATTGGCGATTGTGGAGCTCTAGAGGCAATTTGAAACAATTCGGTTTTACTTAAAGCAACAATAACTTATACAACAACGGCCTTCAAGGTTGCTTTATCAGATCACGTCACTGTTTGCTGCATGTAACTCATATTTTTATGCGCAGTACAACTGCGCAATGTTTTTTTTTATTAGATAACACATAACACTATTAATCTTGCATTGCATTTATTAATATGAACTAAATATATATACACTAAGCAGCGTTGCACACGCGATAAGTGAACATTTAAACATTAAGGACGACCATATACCAATAAAAAATATAAACAAAATTTAATATCTCCTTAGTCTTTTCAGTAGTAGATTATAGTCGTTACATATTTTATTAAATTATCTGTAAAAATATCATGAATGTAAACCCCCCCCCCCCCCTTTCTCTCACTCCCAGCCACTACACCCTATTGCACACAGAAAGAAATCAACAATTATAATATGTAGTTATTTTTTAAGTGTGTTTGGTAAGTGTTAAACGCCACACACAGACACTCGAAAAGCCAGAGGAGTTACAAATGCATTGCCGGCCTTTGAGGAAGGAGTCTCTCTTGAAGGTCCCTAAGTCGTATCGGTCCGGAAATACCGCTGGCAACTACTGATTCCACAACTTGGTTGTGCGTGGCAGAAAGTAGCGCGAAAAACGCAGTGTTGGATTGCCAACCATCGAAGTGGTAGCGGCAGTACGGTGGCAAAATTCAGTTATTACTAGAAGATTTTATTTACAATATGATTTTAAAATAAAATCCATCGCAATCAACAACATAACAAAAAATCAAAACTAAAATATCTTTATTCAACATTACATTCACATATTGATACTCAAAATACTATCATCGGATTAGAAAAGAAAAACTGCTGACCCGAGAAGAACCGGCGAAAGAAACTCATCGGTCCACTTAATATAACTATATGGGTCATTTAATTATTTGTCAAAATGATAAATTAAAACAAGGGCCGATTTTAAAAAGCTACATAACGTATACTTCGGTCTCTTTTATTCCCTTACAATTACTGCGTTTTTTCGAAGTGTACAAATCTTTATTTTACGTTTCACAAAAATTGTTACTTTCAAATAGGTGACTATAATTCTAAAGGTGCGATCGTCTTTTTTTTTTATAACTAATTTATCAATGTAATCAAAATAATAAAGATTAAAGCCTTTTTAAAAATAAAGAGAAAAAAAAAATTATCAATGTCGATATCGTCTCTTCTGGGATCGCTTCTAAGTGCTCTCAGCGGAATCAATCCCCTCTTCAGATCCCAACTGATGAATCAATTCCAATGCTTCACCTACGAGCTTTGAGGACTGGTATTCACTTTTGTAATGCTTGTAGTTTTAATTATGCAAGTGTAGGTCAATGATCTGATAATGTAAGGATATTTTCCAATCGGTCGCATTGTTTTACACCGGTAAATAGTTACGATGTACATATTATTTATTATTAGTATTTCTTATAAACAAACATAAGAGTCCAATTTTTCGAAAAGATTAACTTGTAAACTTTATAAGCAACGATTGGTCGATGAATAATGGTAAGGATACTGCAAAATTAACAACTGTCGTGGTAGAAATTGACAACGATAAATACATTGTTGTATATTTATTACAAATAGTCATCACTTTGCGGATTAATTACATGTTTTGACCTTAAAGTCAATTCAGTCATTATTATTAATAACTTACAACATACAATTAACATTTCGGTAAACTTTTAAATATTTGCTTATCCAATCGGACGGCGTTAGATATGGAATAACTTTTTATTGTTATTATTTCGAAAATATACAGGTTTCTTCTTCACCGCTGAGCACGTGATAAGTCAGCACTTAAAATTAACAATTTCATTTGTGCCGGCACCGGGGATAGAACTCAGGTTGCTCGATTATATTGAATTAAAGGCGAGCGCACTGAACATTGAAGTATCACGGCTCTAGAAAGTCAGTAACGCTACATCTTTTAACTGTAACTTGTAACTGAGCCTTTTTGAATGAATGGAAATTAATTGAACACCCTATTAGGTTTAAGACTTGACAGTTTATTTCTAGAGTGATTTTGTATTAAATTCTGAAAATTGACAATGGTTGTTTACATTTATTGCACATACATACAAGCATTATTGCATAGTCTTTATGTTTATAACGCCGTAAAGGCGTCCATTATTTACCGTATTCCAATATTTAACCTCCCCACGCGAATGTTTACGGATAGCGCAGGAAATTCAATTTGCATTTAATGCATACTGAATCAAGTCGACCCACCCGTGAAACTATCTCCACCCTTTACAATGCAGAGACGACAATAAAGTTTAAATTGTTAAGAAACGTATTAATATTTTATGTTGTTTTACAATAGGTACGTGATCTGAGATCGTAAAGATCGTCGTTTAGAAATCCCAGTGGCGGACGCCATGGATATTCCACATGTTCTAGAACATTGCTGTCCATCAGTCTTGTTCAGTACACTATGACAGGCTTAAAACGTCACGTGTGAACTTTCACCATGAGAGATTTCAAGTTAGCACTTGATATTACCGCCCCGGAATATTTAAAAAAATGGAATAGTTTACTAATCTTCCTTCCTTAATTGTATTAATTCATACCAAACGTTATTAACGGTGGTAGGGGCACGCAACAGTCCTTGCTGTTGCACGAAGGTACCACGACCTCACAGAAGACCGGCGTGAAGTGGACGTGTTATACTTATACTTCTGC